CACAATGGATTATGTACAGTTTGAGTTGTATGATGCTGAAACGAAGGAATTCTTTATAATTGAACTGAGTGCGGCCAATGCACAGAAAATACAAAAAGGTAAGTTAAGAAGTACTTGGTTTGTTTATTTTAATTATTATGAAAGTCCGATAAGTTCTGTTTTAAGTTCATGTACGGCTTCTAAACTATATTATAATAAATGGTTTTCTTATAACTATAATATTGTGTGAATAACAAATATATATACTGTTATTCATAACTGTAAGAAAGGAACAGGTAAATAACATCTTATTTTCAATTTTGGGTCATCTTGGTTATATAATTGGGTCGTCATAATTACTTTATCATCCATGTATACGTGTGTGTACATTAAAGTAATTTTGTATTTACATTTCCTTTTCATATGGAAATTAATAGTAAGGATTATACTAACAAAATTTGTTCTCTATATATAAGTGTAATACATTCTTTGCTCATACCTTCTTTCTGTGTTCAGTTTTGCTTAAATCCATCTCAGAGCTTCATTTCCCGCATGTCATATTCTTTTGCACTTTATTTTGAAAAGCAGAGCACGGTTTTTATTTATAACACCTGTTTTAATTATTCATTTCCTTCCTTTCGGTCGTCTTTTATATTATTTGCATTCTTTTTTTGTTTGTTCTCATTTCCTTCATGCTATTCTTTATTACATACAGATAAGGCTTTTGTAAAAGATGTAATTAAATATGCAAGTAAAAAATAAAAATGATGAATACTTAATGAGAAATGTTTTAACAGTATACATGGTAATGGATTAATTCATTTTAATTATATGTATATCAAGCAATTAATGTAATATTGGTAATTTGTTGAATTTTTTTAATTAAACTATATATTTTAATTGTTGCAGAAATGTTTAATGCGTCCGATACTTGCACTTCAGCTACGAATCCTCTCCGAATTGAAAGTCATGGTTTGTGTAATATTTTTATTCATTCATATTCCATTTCAAGAGAGTAATGCTGCATTGGTACATTATGTACTAACTTTTTAAATTCAATTTGTTGTAGATTTAGTGGGGTCCACCTTTGCTTTAGATTCTGTCTCTATTAAAAGATTTGGTTTGTAATTTTTTGTTTCTTATTTTTATACTTTTTAATTATCTATAATGTGATATTTTTTACATTATTTTTGTACGTTAATCTTTTTGGAAACCTATATCTTTTCACAGATATTGAAATGGATGATATTTTACTTTCTCCAAATAAAGATACATTCCTATATAATCCAGATGATGTAATTCAAATAGACGATACATTTATAGCAAACGATGCAGTTCCAGGCGAAGAATTTCAACAGAGTAAGTAAATTGTGTGTACTTACAGTTATAACATTTCAACGAATATAACACAACATATAATATATCGATACAATGTTTCTGTGTTTGCAAAATAGCTTTCAGATGGTCTCATGAAACTATTTTGCTTCTGTTGGAGGAATATCGGCAACAGGAACAGGTACTCGGGAAGGTAACAAAAAAGCATGGGAGCAAATTGCTTCCGTTTTGAATAATAAAGGTTACATGGTTATGGCCAGGCAATGTACCACTCGAGTGAACACTATGAAAAGGACATACAAGTCGGTGAAAGACCATAACAAAAAATCTGGGAACGACAAGCGAAAATGGAAATATTTTGACGTAAGTGAATGATGCTCGCGCGCGCGCGCGCGCACGCACGCACGCGCGCGCACACACACACACACACACACACACACACACACACACAGAGAGAGAGAGAGAGAGAGAGAGAAAAATGCTGTTGATTCAATTAAAGTCTATATTACGGGCTGTCACTAACATAAGTGATTAATTCATGTATATTTTTATTGACATAAAGGCATAAATTATTATTTCAATAAACAAGCCTTTATGTCAATAAAATATGTACTGTAACTGTACTCGCGAGCAACGGCACAACTTCGTCGCGTGTTCTCGGTACTCAAAGTACGTAAAAGTATCTCCTCTCCCTCGGTAGCAGAATTTTGCGACAGCCAGGCGGTTTTTCGGCCAAAATTATAATTCTTATTCTAAGTTGGGCGCCAAGCACGAGAGAGCGTGCCACTCTTTTCGAAATCTCCTCACTTTTGCCTGTAACGTTTTCGCGACGGCAGGGGGTGGGTCACAAGGGGTGTGGGAAATTTGTCGGTGGGCGAGAGAGATAGGCCACCAGAATAAACCACGCGAAAGCGTAATAATAAGAACAATTATATTTGAAAGGAATGAAATGAAACAAAGATGATAAATTACAGCAGTGAAGCAATTACAAGTACCCTCCGGGGCTTCACCCCTCCGCTCGATACTCTCGGTACTCGCACAGAGTGCTACGCTAACTTAATCCTAACGCCGGACGCCGGTCATACGCTACAGCACGAGCCCCGACCTTCCCCGCGGTATCTTTCAACGGTGTCAAACGCCCACCCCTCAACAGCCGGCCAGAACCCGTACACGCTGTACCACCAGACT